AAGAAGCCACCGACCAAGACGTTCTCTTGAGTCAAGAGTTTCAGGGCTGTCAAGTTGCTGGTGCTAAACCTCAGAATGAGTCACCACAGATTCCATCAGCTGTTTCACTGGTTTGCTGATGTTCGTTGATGTTTGCTGTGATCCTTGCTTCATGTTCGCTTTGAGATCTAAGGACTTCACCGGGCAAAGTGTGCCACAACAATGGGAAAGACCAGCGCAAATCGGCAGCCATCGATGCAATCAAAACGAGGTTTCTTCGCCGGCGGCTTGGCATCCTTGGCGGGTGCTGCAACTGCCTTTGCGTCTGCGTCCTTCTGCATGGTCCTGGAAAGCTCCCAAGAGCAGAATATGGTCAACAATTGCCAAGGGGAAGATTTCCAACTATATACAGGAATCGCGAAAGTAAGACTTATTTACAGTAAAGGGTTATATAGCCCTTCACAGACCTGACACGTGTCAGGGCGAGAGAACATGCGTCTGAGGTGTGCAGTTGAATGTGGGCAGCACTAAGAAATTAATTGGAGGTACCTACTGAATTCAAAACTGATTTGTTTCTGTGGATGTTCAAGCACCTCTCCATGCTTTTAGGATGACACGCACAAATCACAGGTGCGACTCGATGCTTTGGCTCAAGAAACAGGACGCGCTGAGTGTCTTGGTTTTTTACATGTTTGCACATCCTTAGGTTATGAGCCCAAGACGAATCTTGGCGGCCTATAGAAAGTCCACCTTGCATTGGCAAGTTGTTGGCCGCCATGGAGCAGCGCAGACGCAGGCAGCAGCACCGCTCTCGAGAGCGCAAGGAGCAAGCTGGTGGACCAAAGGCTCCAGCCCCTTTGGTGGAGATTGGGGCGGCCGATCGACGCTTGGATGCACTCCTTCTTGTTCTTTCCATCGATGGCGCCCATGCATGACGGCCACCGCAGGAGCAGACAGCTCCCAGGCAAAAACATTGGGTTCTGTTTTAAACAGGCGGCAAAACAAAAGGGAATTAGGCATCAAAGCTGCTTAAAGCATTTGGTGCCTAGTGTCAGGCGTGCGTTTTTGCACTTCGCACATCCAAGACACAACTCGGCTGTCACCAGGGTGGCCCACACGCGGCCATCCCAGGCGTCTGAGCATACTGTCCATAGGCCTGCACAAAGGCGGCGGGAATGCATCACAACTCCAAAAAGCATGGCCAGTATCGGCGGAAGCACTATGATAAGAAGAACAAGGTCTGACAGGCTTTTGTTTCTGCACGGCGAGTGCAGCATCACTGACAAACGCGCCAGTGAGAATGGCAAAACTTTGGCGGGAGTCTTTGGCTAGATTAATGGCTATTTTACATCTTTCTGCAGAAAAATCAACATACTGACAAAAAGTGGCATCATTGCGTCAGGAAGCTTTCCAGGCATGAAATTCATGGGCACGGAAGCTATTGCGCAAAATATGAGACGTCAAATCGTTGCGCCGTCGAGGCACATATGCTTCAAATGATGGATCAGCTTTATGCAAGGCCAATGTCTCACCAGTCAAATCATGTTTCCACACCCAAGGGCTAGAATATGACCATGAAAAACGTTTGAGCAATGAAGTGATCGCAGGACCAACTCCATAACTATTATGCCATGCATATAGCACATTGGTACTTACCTTATGGAGGCATCTACGAACAGCGCCGACGCAGCGCTGGGCAATCCGAAAATTAATATTCAGTCGATGACCTCGCAGGAGATTCCTGAGGTTCGGACTGGCACAGTTCGGCTCGTGAAGAGCCTGCTTGATGGCATTTTGAACCTGAGTGCAAATTGCCATCGTCGGCACTTTGAGGATCCATCCAAATTCAGCTTTGGACAGCGGAGCAGCTGCAATGATGCTTTTGCGCATAGAGTAACTCACAGGCAGCCAGGTGGCACGGCGGATCAGAGCCACAGTGCGCCTGATCCTTTCATCTTCCGTTTTGGACATTTTTCTTTGAACAAAACCACGAAACGTGTGTCCCAAAATAACAACATTGTGGGACACTTGGTTGGCAGGAATTCCATGGTCGACAAAATCTTGGCGACCTTTTTTCTGAGGATGAAAATATAGGCTTTTGGCAGTGTTCTCTTTGAGTTGGAGCTCACGACTCCAAGATTTCCAAATTCGTTCTCTATCTGGAGAGCTTCTGTGACAGATTGTGTGGCCCACGACCTGTCGTCCACAAACGTTTTCAAAGTGGCCGACGGGTGTGTCCTGGCAATTTCCCAAATGGCAGGCGTGAGGAGTGCGATCATGGCGAGCAACGACCATGGATCGCCCTGTGGCAATGAAGATCGAACAATTTCTGGTTCAGGCAAAACAAAGTTCTCATCAAAGGACAAATATCTGCGCAGATTCGTCCAGTGGTTTTTCAACATTCTGCAAATGGTTGTTGGCAATCCCAGATCTTGCAGGAACGGGATGCAAGGGTGGCCATAATCGAATGCAAGCAAGAAGTCGAGCGATACAACATATTGAGCCTGAGTGACAGCTTCAATCAAGGGAAAAAGTGCATCATACAGTTCACGGCCTTGCTTGCCGCCGACGGCCTGATCAGGCCACCATTTGTTGATCCATTGTTGGCGTTCTTCGGGGGTGCATACAGGCGATACCAGGCACTGAAGAGTGTCAAAGGTCGGAGACCGGCAACATCGCGAGCCCCATCACGGGCTCGAACACCTTTCTGGCCCTTGGGCAGGTGCGTCTGGCGAGCGATTTGCCAAGTGCTAGGAAGCAAACCTGACGTTTCACACAAGCTGCAAAACGAAGCGAAAAGTTCGAATGCGGCAACTGGCATAGAGCAAATCTCATTACCTGACCAACCGTCAGGTCCAGCAGCTTTGCCCTGAAAGGAACGGGCACGAGTGGCAAGGTCAACAGGGTCCACAGGGGCCCAGCGAGGTGTGTGTTCGGGTGACAAATTTCTACGTGCAAGTTCAGCACGCATGCGCTGAAGAACAGCACTGACATCGGGAGGGTCGCGATTCCACACACGTCTCCAATGATCACGAATCAGTATCAAGGAGGTTGGAAAGTCTTCAGTGACATCTGTTATGTTAAGGGCTTCAGAAATTAACCCACGGAAGGGTTGGACGTGGGGATTCTTAAGCCAGCGAAAACATTGGCCAGAGGAGTTTTGCAATCTGTGCTTCCAATTCGAAATGCGAGTCTGGCGATGAGCATCTCTTTCCTGATGCAGTTGGGTCTGAATAGTGGAAATATTCTGACTGATGGACAAGGTTTGTTGGTACAAAGGATTGTTGGCAATTTTGGAGTTAAGGCGACTATATTCAGACCGACTAGTCCGGCCATGAGTTTCAATCTTACGACATTCACGAAGTTGTGCCAACAAATTGCGCAAATGACGGATACGATAAGACTCATTGGCAGTGTCAAGTTTTGACGCTTGATGGGGAATACCTTTTGAAAATTTCAGGATACTTTTCCTATGGCTGGGTTTGGCATGGGCTTTGTCATCAGGAGAAAACTGGCTGTGTACTGCACGAAGCATGCGCTCGAGGTGCAAGCTCAACCGCGCCCAATATTCATCGATGGACGTCTGTGTGCAGCAATCAGGTGGCTGCGGAGCGGAATTCTCGGTAAGGAAATCGCCACATGCAGCTTTCCAGGTTTCGATCGGACATATGTCGGGTTTGGAGAGATCATCATGTCTGGCAAGGCGATACATGGCAGATGGAGCAGGGCGAGGCGGCATTTTTAAAGGTGCAACAAAAGATTTTATGACCTGCAATTGCTTCACGATCAAAACAAATTTGTTCAACATTATGCGGCATGTTGGTCACGGCGTAGTCAATGCAACGGTTGCTTGACCATCGCGAAGAGGCAGGTTGCCCGTGTGCTTGTTCTGAACAAAACAAGTATGCAAACCAAGAGTGTCATCTTGGTAGACAAGGTGGTTTTCGTCAGGAGTATCATTCCAATCACCAAGACCAACCCAGGGGGTTCCCCTAGGAAGGAGTTGCAAAGATTCGAGAATGTGGCATGCAGCGGGGATTCTGCTTTCTTGAGGAGGTTGATACCAACTAGTGACAGCAATGTTTTCAACCATGACAGTGACAACTTGACCTTCTTCTTCGGAGAGGATACTGATCAATCGGCATCTTAAGTCATATCTTACGAGAAGTATGACACAACCCCTGGCATTTTTATGGCGGATTATACTGGGGCCATCAAACATGCGGTATTTATGTTTATTGGCATAACGATGAAAATATTCACGTTCACCCGGCATGAGGCCATATTCTTGAGTGGCAAGTACAGGGACTTTTTGTTTCTTAGCGTAGTCAAGAAATTCTCTGGCACCGGTTCCACGGCCGCAGTTGCAGGACCAAACGTGAAGCGGCCACGAAGGTCCAGGATGGGGATGAACGTCCCCATGAGCAGTAAGGTCACTTTGCCAGGCACGCGGGTGAGCACTAGAAAGTGGTGCCACCCGCCCCGAGTTTCAGGAGGCAAAGACATTAGTGATTTCAGCGAATGTACGACCGACAGCAGTGGCAAATTGCAAACGAATTCAGGGCGATTGGCCTGCAGGCGAAGCCACCATGCGGACTTGTATCGGCAATATTTGGTATCTTTTTTTGGATTGCTGTCCAAGATGTCGACGGCAAGTGAGATCCCAATTGTTCTTGATGTTTCCCTTTTCAACAAGGGCCAGGCATTTGCTGCAGTAGAACAAGTGTC